CTTTCCTCTTTTTCTACGATCAGCGGCACGAAAAACGGATCCCTTTCTTTTCCCATTTTCGCAAACGCAAAATCGCTTTTTACGGGAATAATTCTCGTTTTGTGGCTTACGGCTGGTACAGTTGTTGCATATTCATGATTTAAAAAACCAGACTAATTGTTAACGTGCGTATGCGGCTACGGTAACGTTGCCAATTCAACGTGTACAAAATTTCATTTAAATATTCTAACACTTACAGTATATTTCCATAAAATATCATTAAAATAAATAAATTTCAAAATGAATTACCATGTGAATATTTTTATGGATATACAACGTGGCTCACCACATTTTGCCATCTAGATTTGCGTCATTATTATTACTCATAGCAAACAATGTTTCAGATGAAGTTGAATGGTTTTGAGAGGGGCATGTTCTGATGGTATATTTTTTTTGTAGGTGGACGTGTAAAGGAAATATGAAGGTTATTAATGTTTTTTTAAATGGAATCATATATTTTTTATTGCATCAGCTGATACTCCTTTATATTCTTTACAAAAAAGTATTAATCTATTTATGTGAAAAAATCACCATACACTTTTTAATTTTTAAATTTCTAGACAACCATTTATTTACTTTAAGGACTGTTCGCAAAAGGATTTGTGCATCACAATACACATTCGTTTTACGTGACAAAGCTAAACATGTCGAATGAACGAGGTTGAAGGTCATAATTCAACGAAAGAGGGAATTATCTCCTCCTTGTTGCCATTGTTCACAAATAGTCTTTGTTCGGCGTACAGTATATACATTGTAGAGCACATCAAAATTACGTTTCAATTTGTGGCCCCGTGCATCTCGCACATGCACACTGCTATGGACAAAAGTGTCTTCTTTTCAGGTACTTTTCCAATTTGCATGGACAAATAGCAGCAGCAGCCTTTAAAAATTTTTAATTATACCATTATTCACGGTTGAATTATAGTGAAATAATTGATTTTAATACTTTTATTTCAGAATTAGAATATAAGTGTTCGTTAAATGATTTTCTAGGTGAAAGTTAAAATTCAAACTTGTGAAATTAATTTTTTCAATTAACCTATAATTTTCAATCGTTAAGGGAAATTTCTTGACAATAAAAATTTAATTTGTAGTTCAAACAAAATTAGATTAGTTTATGGTTAAATTAGCATAATTTAGAATTAGGTTAGGTTTGGTGATTTGAAAGTACACTAGTTTGTAGTTATCTTAGATAAAATTAGAATAATTTAGAATTATCTCAAACAAGATTAGAATAGTTTGGTGTTAGGTTAGGTTAGGTAATTTAGAATTAAATTAAACAGTCAAACATAAGTATAAAATAATTTGAAGTTAGGTTAACTAGTTTAGAATTAAACTAAACTAGTTCATGATTATCTCAAGCAAAATTACAATAGCTTACAAAGATCTGAAGTTAGGTTAGTTGATTTGTTTACTCACAATATATCACATTGCATTTAAAAAATAAATATTTATCTATTACGAAATTCGAGATAAGTCATTCCAATTACGTGACACACCCTGTATATAATAAAATTGCGTAGAAAATGCAGGTCAGTGTAATGCTAGAAGAGTTGGTGATAAGTCATTGTGCGGTCGCAACAGCGGTGCACGCTGATGCATCGTATGCACCGTTGTGCACACGTGTTACATTTAACAACCGTAGAAATTTGTAGTGAAATAAGAATGTCGTAATTCAACACTAGCCACTTTCATCGACCAGCGCGCGAGTTTGCAGGATTGAGTTACGATGGACACATCCAATCACCTTGAAAAACTAACAGTATGTATAATAATTCCCTAATCAACCGGAAACGATTGATTACGGAGAGTTTCAGAGGGCGAGGTTTCTAACAGTATTTTAGTGTGATTGTTTGAATCAGCGATGGGTATAAACGTTCGAAGGGATGTGTACGTTATGTGCAATGATGGATTAATAATTTTTGAAGATTTTAGTTTCAAATTTTTTTATGTTTTGATTATCAGATTTTTTAATTTTCAAATTTAAGATTTCATACTCTGGAATTCTCAAATTTTCTAATTTTTTAATTTACAAATTTACAAATTTTTACATCTTCAAATACTCAAGTGTCAAATCCTCAAATTTTGTATGTTGCAAATTTACAAATTTTTACATCTTCAAATACTCAAATTTGAAATATTCAAATTTTCTATTTTACAAATTTACAAATTTTTAAATCTTGAAATTTTCAAATTCTCAATCTCTCATATTCTTAAATTTTCTAGCATATAAATTTACAAATTATTACATATCAAGTTCTTAAATTTTCAAATTTTCAAATCCTCTAATTATAAAATTATAAAATTCTCAAATTTTCAATCTGTCAAATCTGAAAATTTCTAAACATTTAAACCTAAAAACTTTTCAATCAGAAAATTGGTTAACGGAAGCTGAATCTGCTTTCCCCGAGACGCCATTTTCTTTAGAGAAGTTAACCACGCTTTCCAGTATGATTGAGAAAATTGTGCGTTGAAACTGTACCGAGTGACGTCCACTCGTCTCGTTGAAGTTTAGGTAATCGGATGTATTTTATTATTCATTTACGTAAGTCTCACGTATTTCTTGCGATTGTTTGTTTTCGATTCATATTTCATAACCACGCTGGATTCCATTGTACGCAGTTTACAGGGGGAGCGTTCAACCTTTGGAACACTGATTACGTTCAAACTTGGTACAATTATAGAATACTAAGAGTAACAATTATTTTACTGTCAAGTACAGTTAAGGTCTGTGTTGTACCATTGGTGATCGATATATTATCAATTATTAACACTTGAAGATATAAGATATTAAGATTTAAACTTCAATTCAAACTTAATCTGACATTTAATTTTATCACTTAAGTTTATTATCTAACTACAAATAGAAATAAGTGATTTTAGGTGATAAATTTATTACTTAATTTGTAAATTAAATTTGAGAATTAATATCTCAGGTAAGATTTTAATTTTTAAATTTGCAAATTAAATTCCTTAATTTTGAAAATGTCTTTTCTTAATTTTTAAATTTGCAAATTATTAAATTCCTTAATTTTGAAAATGACTTTTTTAATTTTTAAATTTTTGCAAATTATTAAATTCCTTAATTTTGAAAATGCCTTTTTTCATTTTTAAATGTGAAGATTTGGAAATTTGAGAATTTTAACCTTTAACAATTTAAGAATTTAAAAATTTTATGTATTGAAAATTTATAAATTAAAAAATCTTAACATTTGAAGATTTGAATGCTTGAAAATTTGGTAATTTGGAAATATAATAATTTGATAATATTAAAATATAATAATTTAAAGATTTAATTATTTATAATAATAATTTAAATAATTGTTTTAAGATAATTTAAAAATTTTTTAATTCTGAAAATTTGAGGATAAGAATTTTGAAATTTGAGAATTTAAAAATTAAAAAATTAGTGTATACTATAATTAAAAATTAGAGTACGTAAAAATTTGAGACAGATTTTGGGAATGAAAAAAAATTGAGAATTTAAAAATTGAGAAACTATGAAGTTAAAAACCTTGAGAAATGAAAGTTACATATTTGACTCAAAAAATAGAAGGGATGAGAAGGGTGTTCCTGCCCCTTGTCCTAATCCAAAGGAAGCCCATATTGCACCCCGAGTGTGCACATCAAGTAAAACGATCCTTTGAGCTATTCTTGGAAAAGCCAGACTGAACCAGAGAACCATCTTTCTTCAGGAAGATCCGTTGCTTCCTGTGCCCTCATTGTTCACGTTTCAAGAAGTTTTGCGCGGGCAGCTGCTACTAACCGTCCAACACCGAGAAATCAAATATTCATCGAAGTTTACTGGGTTAATAATCACATTTTCAACGGTACTAACGCCTACTGTATTCTGAACTATTGACTTTTACTGTTAAAAATACATTTATATGCATGGCGGCTCTATAAACAGGACTGTAGCAATTGACAGTACAAAGAATGGTTTGTAATGTGCTTGAAAGTTTGCAAATTTAAGTTGAAGAATTTTAAATTTATTAATTTAACGATTTGTAATTTTCAAAATTTAAAAATTTATAAAATTCTTCATTTTGACTCGGTCGCCCAGTTTGACAGTTGCCAACGGCGGTTATTGTTTCTTCAATACCTAATTTATATTAATGCACGATCATAAGCGAGGCAGGTCTGCTACAATGGACTTGACCTCCGCCGAATTCAAAATTTAATACAGAACATTCTCGGATGCAATTTTAATAATTATCTCGTGAAACGCATAATAAGGATCCTTTACGCTAGAGATTAAAAATAAACGAATGAATATATCGATTTAACTGACATTAAGTAATAAAAAGTTAAAAATAGACACGGTGAACTTGATTGCTGTCGAGCGTTCAATTTTTTATCAAATATTCCTTTCCTTGGCATTATTAATTTATTGTACAATATATTTGGCATTGATTTATATTTAAAAACCATGACTGAAATCTATTCGTGACTACATGTATCACGTGCATCGTTTTGTACGCTAAATACATAAACGACGGATGAGCACCTTGCACTGTCATTACACGTAATGAAAGGAATTTCAAAATTGTATTAAAATAAGCTATTAACATATTCAGCAGGATCTTTCCTAAACTATATGTTAACGATTGCAATTCACGTGTACTTCACGCGTTAAAACAGATATATTTCAGGGTTAACAATATCTGAGAAAGCTATAAAAAGGTTACTAATTAATCTTATAAGATTCCGCGATACAAACATATCATGTTAAACGTAAACAACAGTTACTGGCAGAATTCACTGATCTCAGATAAATTATCAACGCCGTTGCGCAATCTACAGATTTCAAAAACTGCAACAATGTAGTACAACATTTCTCTCGGACTCTAAAAACCATCAAACGGTGCACACTGTTGAAAATTAAATGAGCGATAAATGTTGCGACAAAATATGTACAGTGTGATGATATTCATTATCATCCGAATGCAAAATAGACTTACCGAAATATTTGTCTGGTTCCAAACCCGAATCTTTATCCAGTCCGCATATGACAAAATAATCTGCGAACCTTTGTGGATGTTGCTCTGGTCCGCGCATTATTCCCAGGCTCCCGTTCATTTTTCTCAGAAATAAAGATCACATACGGCTCGCCTCTGCAGTACACGAAACATCCTCACGAAAATGATTTCCACATTATGAACCTCCACGAAACTGTCATTTCATGGAAGAGCGAAACAACAGCTGATGATGTTGACGCGTACCAAACGTAACGCACGACTCCGCGGAGTGCGGACCTCTCGCCGCGAATAATTGATCTTTACTTATCGCGTGAAGTTAGCTGCCGGTCGTTCGCGTAATCGCGATTGTGAAATGGCGCGAAAATTTAAACTGCGTAATCCTTTTAAAAGATGCAATTAAGAATATAGTATAACTACGATATGTTTACTTCATTTTATATGACTCGTTCATAATTTAAAATCCGAAATTCAAATATTATAAATGTTTGACTTTTTGAATTTGCAAATCTTTTATTTCCAAATTCTGAGTTTTCGGAATGTTTTCAAATTTAAAGACATAAACATTTTAAATTTACAAAGTTTTAAATTTGAAACTATCAAGTTTAGGAATTCAGACATTCTTAAAATATAAAATAATTACTGTAAAAAGTAAATTTTATGTTGAAATCACTCCTCGCGCCATCTGTATGATTCTTCAGTGCACAAATGTTTGTTCACTCGTAGAGAGGTTAGATTTGTGAAGTTCAACATAAATTTCTAAAGATACGATAATACTATAGAAAATTTTAGAATTTTCACGTTTTTACAGATGATGGAGGAAGTTGACAATATTATTATTCATTCATTACGTCAAATAGGCTGGTGAGTTTTCAAAATTTAGTATCAGGCATTTGTCATATTTGATATTTAATGACAACCGGTTTTATAAAAATAAAGTGGGTGGTAATATTATCTATATTCATTGCTATACCTTGAATAACAATATATTGCTTTTTTCTTTTTTTTTACTCAATTTAAAATGTTATAAATTAGAATTTTTAAATATCATATATTTAAAAAATTATAAACTAATTAAAAATTATAGAAATTTAACAGTTTACAAATTGATTTTAAAAATATATAATAAAAAGTTCTACTTTCTTTAAATTAAGTTTATGAGTATTATAAAACTTATTGATAAACTTAAATAATATTTAATTTCAATATAAATAATTTGATCATTATACTTAATTACTTAATATTTAAATAAAACTAATTTGTTTAACCCAAAGATTCAATTTGTTAATGATAATGTTAATTTTTATGTAGATATACTTTGTTATTTAGAATGTTAACAATAAACAGATACCATTATATTAGAGATAAATATTAATCACATTTTAGTGACATAGACGAGGGTATAACAAATCTCAGTGGTTTTAATACGGAACTAGTGGTAGATGCAACAATAAAATGCTTGGATATAATAAAACCAGGTCTTGGATTATCTACTGTTTTACCTATAAATATGGCAGCCCGTTTTCGACTGGGTGCTACACTTGCTCAAGCATGTTCAGTAAGATTTAAAAGAAATGATTGAATATTTTAATTACTTATGTAATCATTAGTTTACCTTTGTTGACACACAGTTCATAAATTTAGGAACTAGGATACAAAGGTGATATTGGCTATCAAACATTTTTATATAGCTCAGAAGCTGACCTACGTAAAGTTTTTATGTTTTTGATTGAGAAATTACCAAAAGAAAGTGATAAGCCATTAAATGAACCGATTAGTAATATTGCATTATTAGAAAAATCTATAGCAACAGCAGTAGATCAAAGTTTGTCAGTATCTTGGTTGCCGCATTACTGTCATACAAAAGGATTTAGAAATAGGGGAAGAGCAAGTATCCCTTGTAAATCTGTGAATTTAGAAATACCAAAAGTAGAAGATGGAGAAGGTAATATTAATTATTTCTACTAGCATTCAATATTATAGAATACTTATCTCATAAAAATGTTATCCATTGTAGAATATAAAGAATATTTCATACATTATCTACAGTCTGTTCCTGAACAAATCCAAAGTGCATCATCTGTTTTACCTTCTTTGATATCCTACAATGCAAGAAGTACTTGTTCTTATTCAATGAATATTCTTGATCGAATAAATTGGTTGAACGAGCAGTACTGTAATAAAATCACTCAGATTAATACATCTGGTGATGTTAAAGTTCTGAATACAATCCTGGTAAAAAATGCAACATTACCCTCCAAAGTAAGACAAAGAAAAAATGATTACAAATAATATGTAGATAATGTAATACTGTAATTTAATTTGTCACTATTATAGGAATCTCAGGTAAAAAACAACGGTACTACAGAATCTACGCTTGTGAAAGAGAAACCACTTACACAATTAGATAAACTGGAAGAACAAGATTTAAAAGTAGAAAAAATAAAAGTTGAATGTGAAAATTTCAGAAGTAATATAGAAGAGTTACAAGACGCGATTAAAAAGTTAACTACCAGTGTGAGTCAAATAACAATAAATTATCAAAATGAAGAAAAGGAATTAACAATTAATGAAGAACAGAAAAAATTTAAAGCAAGAATATATGACCTATTACAAGATGGTGAAGAAAACATTAAGAAATTAGAAGCAGCAATTGAAATTAGTACAAATAAATTAATTAATTTAAGTAACCAGTGGGAAAAACATAGAGTACCATTAATTGAGAAATATAGGCAAGAAAGAGAAAAACATTCAACAAAAGCTGTAAGTATAGCTATACCACTGGAACATAATATTTAAACTATGTATCTAATTATAGAATTACATGTCTTTTCATAATACGTGTAGAGTGCAAGCCAAAAGAAGCAGGATGAAATCAAACTGTTAAAAGAGAAGGAGAAAGAACTTCTAGAAGAATGTCGTAACAAAGATCAACAGTACTCACAATTAGTAACAGAAGTTCATAAACTTCCTAAAGAAGTAAATAGATCCGCTTATACCCAACGAATTTTAGAAATAATTAATAATGTTAGGAAACAAAAGGACGAAATCAACAAAGTTTTAGCTGACACACGAGAAATTCAAAAAGAAATCAACACTCTTACAGGCAGATTGGAAAGATCGTTTACGGTTGTTGATGAATTAATATTTCGAGATGCAAGAACAAATGAAGCATCAAGGAAGGCTTACAAATTACTAGCCACACTACATTCTGATTGTAGCGAACTTGTAAGTTTAGTAGAAGAAACTGGTGCGACTATACGAGAAATAAGGGATTTAGAAGAACAGGTAAACAATATATATCTTGTTAATAGAACCCATTTATATATAATATAATATAAATTATAAAAATTCTTGTATTAAATCTATCATATTTTTGGTTTAGATTGATTCTGAGTCCACAAAAAATGTTGGGGCAAACTTAGAGAGGATAACTGCTGATTTGAAACAAATGAAGCAAGAAACGGCAGCATTAACAGCACAACTACAGACTAAAACTTCGTGATCGTTATGTAATATGTGATACTGTAATATAAATTGTAATAACAACGACCAGGTAAAAATTTAACTGAGAACTAAAAAATATACAAATATGTATATGTATAATTCGTTTTGAAGTTGTTTACAGTATAACAAAAATTAAATTGTAATGTTTATAGGACATTCCTCATAAACGAGTACGATTCCGAAGACCAAATTTTATAGTCATAAATAATACAAAAGTAAAAACAGAAGTTAAAAAACTGCTACTTGTACAGCAGTTTTTGTAAACGTATTAAGACTAATTACTAAAAATTTATAAATACGAAATATGATTACGATTGGGCCAAATACACAGCATGACTTCATTTAATATTAACGCTCAAATGAAACATCATTTGTTACAGAGCCTAATAATTTTTTAGTGTAAAGTTTAATTGTACAGTTAATTTTCGTATTTCTCAAAAATAAGCATTTACAGAGAAATCTGTTATAAATCTATATACTAAATATTAAAAACAAAAAAGAATACTTTTAAGCAATTATGTACAAAATATAAAAGATACATTACTCTTAACATGTTTCTTTTGATTTTTTTACCCTACTATTTGTGACAGAAATAATTTATAGAAATATGATTTATTATATATTTCTAAATTACAAATTTTTATCTGTTATTTACAATTATATTATATATTGATTTTTCTGACTTAAACGGTAGGTGGTACATATTCTGCTGTTTGTTTTAAATTTCTTAGTTTCCTTGCAGAATGAGGTATTCTACGAACACGCAGCTTTTCTTCCCTATCTTTAAGAGTAAGTTCTTCTATTTTTAGATCTATTTCATTTTGTCTTTCAAAGAAAGTTAGGAAAGTTTCTCGTTCTTGTAAATCTTTCTTTAATTCATCAATATGTTGTATCCTAGCCAGTCGATTTATTTCTTCCTGCTGTTTGTTTAATACTGTTTCCCTCTGTTTTTCCCATTCAGGATATTTCTAAAATATTAACAAAAATTGATTAATTGTGTATAATAAAATAATATTTTAATCTATTTTTACTACAAATTATTAATAGTGTACTAATTACCTTTAACTGTTCATTCATATCAATTTCAGCTTGTGTGTTAACTGCAGATTTAATGTTATTTTCCAATGTTTCAGTTAAATTATTTTCACATAATTTTTTTTCTTTTAATGTATTAAGTTCAGACATTAAAGTCTCTAACTCATTTGGTATTTCTTCTTTGGGTATATGTGCATTATCTTTTTCAATTAGATTAAAAACTTCATTATAAACAACATCATCCTCAATTTCAGTTTGTAATTGTTTTATAAATTTCAATGCATCCTGATATTTTTTATATAATATTAAACCTCTTAAACGACAAGTTCTTCCTAATGCATTATCCATGGCTTTTCCTTGAAAAGCTAATGTTTTTCCTACTAAATCACGTGGATCTGTAAGATCAAAGTGATCATCAAAGTAAGGATTTCTGAGATAACCTACTCGAACTTTCACCTCTTCCGTAGAATCATCCTTTGGTGGTTCCGGTTTTTTCCAAATATCAGGATTCTCTAGATATTTGTGACAACTATATACAGAAAATGCATTGGTTATTGGATTCTCAGTGTCTTCTTGAAGCATCGGTAAAACAGCAATCTTAGCTGCACTGGCATAATCTTGTTTCTTTATATATGTGTCCATGAGTATATTATATAATACATGATCAGGAAAAATACCATAATTAAGTCTGTCATGTAAAACAGTTATAAGCTCATCTGTACAATCATGACCTAACAAGTATCTTATAACTGCATGGTGTGTTGAATCTAAAGTGTTTGTTGTTTCAACAGTTAACCTTAACTTGTGAAGTAGATACAGCAGTTCCTCGCTCTGATATTTCTCTACTACAGAATTCGCAAATATATCAATGTCAACTGCGCTAATTTTTCCTTTTGAGGTGTACTGTTGTTCCAAACGCAAAAACAAATTTTCTGGGTTAACTTTTTGTAACAATGGAGACTGTAGACGTGCTTTCCATGCTTCTTCACACCGGTATGCTTCGGACAGAAAAGATCGCTTTTCTGCCACCGTTTTGCAAACCGTACGGTACACATTTTTACTAGAGTTGAATAGTTTCAACATTGTTGATTTTATTAGTTATTAGTGTATCATATCTTTATGAGAATAACTTTAGTTAGTTTTACACTCCACAACATACACCGTAGGTCTAAATATCACCAAAAATAGCGCCATCTCGTCGTATTACCGTTTATATATTAGTTTGTATACAACTTACCGAAATCAAATGATGAAAATGGAAAAGACTATTAACATTGAAAATTGTAGGAAAAGAAGTAGAATTTTACTTTATTTGAAATAAAACTTTTAAAAAGTCGGATCGTAATGAAAATTACGGATTTAAGAAATACGTACTTTTCTTTGAAAAATATTATTTCTTATATTATCAACGAGACACAGTATAGTGTGTGAATTGTTTTGCACACATAATGGCAGTACATAAGAGAGAAATGTGGTGATCATCAGAGTCGTCGGTCAAGAAGAGTTCTTATTAAACCGTCGATCAAGAAAAGTTTTGTCTGCAAATCTGAACAAATGATCAATGTTTAATGCAATCGTCGTTTCATCGTATTTAATTTTATTTTAAAAACAAAATCATCTGCTATTCATTCTGTAATTGAGCGAGCGAGCCGAAGGCGAGCGAAGCTCTTATACTTGACTTTGCAACTTCTTCGTCCGCATTCTTCTTTTGCACCACTCAACCAATTCTCGCCAAATTTTGCATGCACATGCGTATGAACATAGAAAAAAAATTTTAATCGGACCTGCCACGAACGAATAATCACCGAAAAAACTGATCCTAAAAAGTGAGGGTCCGAACACGCATATAAGGAAAATAAAAAAATGAATATTTCGGCACTTTGACGACGTAGTATGGTTCCTGAGGCATTTAGAAAAAAATTTTTATTAGGATTTGATGCGTTTTTGATGCCTAATAAAGCCAGAAAATCAATTTTTGTCGAATTCGGTACAAAACGGTACATGTGGCGTCATCTAGCGGCGGGCGGCGGAACTACGAAAAACTAAAATTTCGATTTTCTCGAAAACTAGCGAATTGTAAGTACTTCTGAGAGTCAGAAATTGTTCTGTGACATCTCTAGAACTTATATAATGCCACAAGAACCTCCTCAGAGCGCTAGAAAATAAAATAAAAAAATAGGTCAAAACATGGACTAAAAAATTGGCGTCCATCTAGCGGCGAAAGTTGGAAACACAAAAATACAAAAATGGGATTTTCTCGAAAATTAGCGAATTTCGAGTACTTCTCAGGCTCAGAAAGTGTTATGTGATCGCATTAGAAGCAAAATAGTGCAAGAAAAGCTTCCTAACGGTTTTAGAAAACCGTATATACGAACACGCGTTAAGGAAAAATATAAAATGTAATATTTCGGAACTTTGACGACGTAGTATGATACCTTAGACATTTTAAAGCAAGTTTTGTTTAATTAGTTATGCATTTTTTTGCCTATTAGGTTCAGAAAATCAATTTTTATTTGACCCTTTTCTGCGTATTCGGACATACGGTTTTTCAGTTTAGTTCGCAGTTTCGCCGCTAGATGGCGCCACAAATTTTCTCCATAAAATGACATTTTTTTTATTTTCTTTATTAAAGCTTTCAGGAAACTTTTATTGCTTTATTTTGCTTCTAAGGCGGTCACATAACACTTTCTGAGCCTCACAGGTACACAAAGTTCGCTAATATTCGAGAAAATCGCATTTTTATATTTTTGTAGTTCCAACTTTCACCGCTAGATGGACGCCAATTTTTTAGTCCATGTTTTGGCCTATTTTGTTATTTTCTTTTCTAGCGCTCTGAGGAGGTTCTTGTGGCATTATATAGATTCTAGAGATGTCACAGAACATTTTCTGACCCTCAGAAATTCGTAAAATTGCCTAATTCCGGAGAAAATCGAAATTTTAGTTTTTCGTAGTTCCGCCGCTCGCCGCTAGATGGCGCCACCTGTACCGTTTTGGACCGAATTCGACAAAAATTGATTTTCTGGCTTTATTAGGCATCAAAACGCATCGAACCCTAATAGAAATTTGTTTCTAAATGCCTCAGGAACTATACTACGTCATCAAAGTGCCGAAATATTGCACTTTGCATGTGCAGTAGAACTAACATAGACGGCTCATGTACGTATCACAATGCTGACACAAAATAATCAATTACTCATTACCCGCACATTATTTATGAACTTTTATGATCGAACCATGTAAATAATGCATTGCTGTCCATTCTTTAATCATAAAAGATTCAAAAGTGTATAGTTCAACCTGTTCGCCCGAGAGATGGCGCCACCAGTTCAATTTTCGAAAATTCCAATTTATGATGATTTTATTGCCTTAATTCACTATAATATTCATCAAATTACATTGTAAAGCAGAAACAGTTAACTTTAGAATGCTTTTGATTTTATCGAGCTGTTATCTATTTTAAACCATTTAAATCATTTTCAAGAATATCGTCGATAAGGCAGGGAATAATATGACAATAGTAAAAATTTTTTCTTTTGCAAAAGCTATGCTTGCAGCAAGGTATGACAGATTTCCGAAAAAACGTCCAATTTTCTGCTTCGATAGTGTGACATTTGACTGTCAGATGGTACTAGCAGTTTCGTTTCAGGTGGCGCGCGAAAATATAAATTTTGAAATACATTAATGAATAGTTTTAGCTATTTAAATTAATTACTATACAATAAATTATAGTCTTTTTTACCTTGTTTATGTATTAAACACCTGTAATTCTTTTATTATACATATAGTTGTTCATGCATAAAATATGCAATAAAACAGCGTGCCTTTAAAAGTACGCATATACACTCAAGATATATAGTCTCTCCAGGCAAAAATAAATTACGAAATTAACGAATATATTGATAATCTTGATTTTTAAATTGAAAATAATTGCAAAATCTGTTGAATAGTTCAGTCATTTTTTTAATAGGAACTAAATTATGGTCTGTTGATAATGTAGGTAAGGCGGGAAATTCAAATGTAGCTCACCGTACAAAATTATACAGTTTACCATTAAAGTTTGTATACTTGTTTTGTTTGTCCTCATACTTGGTCTTATATTCGATTTGGATTGTTTAATCCTTAATTCTGAAATAATTATGTTTACATCTACGTTCATGAAGCATGAAGTTATTTTAATTATTTTTAATTTTAAGTATAGCTACTAATATAAACCATAGTAGTTACTAATATTATTAATTTAAGCTTATTGTTACAAAAATTGTTTTATGAGAACTAAATATTTGATATCGTATCGAAACCACAGATTACTAAATGATTTATAATTTCAATTAGAAAGCCTTTACATTTTATTCGCTGTTATTTGCGTTTCAAATTAAAATTAAATATTTAGTTATACAAAATTTAACTCAATGTAAAATAAGAATATTTGGTAATTGAAAATTTTCAATATGCCCATTGCGAAATTCAGATATTTATTAAATTTGCGATACATATTTAATTTTCGATTTTCAGGCACCGCAAATAGCAGGTACATTCAGTTAATTTCTGTTACAAAACCTTATATTACATTTCGCAAAATTAAGAGTTACTGACGTAGCACTAAACTACACCGAAATTACCGCGATTACGGTAATTGAAACGTGAAATACTTATCTCTGGCGGTGCTCCAATTAGTACAACGCTATTAACATTTGTTGTTTTGAAACCAGAAAATTACAGTTACGTCTTTCGTCTGCAATTAAATTATCAAATAATGAAGCAAGTATTGTCGGATAAAATGAGTTTCGCAAAAAATTGCATTGCTAGTATCCTTACTTCAACTTCAAATAGAAAATGTTTTATGCAAATTATTTTGTCTCTACATCTAGTATAATATTGTAATAACGTCGGTAATTTGTTCATTTTATAATAAAAAATTAAATAATTTCTTAATTAATTCCATTGAACTTGAAAATTACATACACACTTTCAATATTTTAAAGTATTTAGGAAACCATTGCTAAATTTTAAGGTAGGCACGTCACCTAATTTTATTAAACAAAATATTAAATAAGTTATTAAACAAAATAACTACATAAAATAAAGGTAAAGTTATTAATGTTTTAATATTTTTATAAAATCAGTTCTATTTTACCTTTCATTTGTTGTTCAAATTGTTAAAAATTCTGTTTTACAACAAAGATATGTTTTGACGTATTAAAATTGAAATTATTTCGAAGAGTATAATTAGAAACGAAAATTATTTAGTTTCGCAGTGGTGGGAATTTTAAATGAATTTTAAATTTAGGAGTCAGAAATAATTTAATATACAGTGATCAAAGCGTAATAAGACAAAAAATCGCGGAAAATTTGAAAAATAGTCGGGAAACTGAAAATGTACGGGCGGCCATCTTGTTATGCTAAAGACACAAAATGGTGGATGACTTGAGAAATACTCACAATACAAATATATGGAGGTGGATATCTTATTATCATAAAGACACAAAATGGCGGAGGATTTGAAAAATATTCACGAAATAAAAAAATGAGCACGTGGCCATCTTATTAGCGTAAGTGTACAAAATGGCGGATGATTTGGCAAATAGTCACGAAAGAAAAAAGATGAATGTGTGGCCATTTTATTATTGTACAAAACACAAAACTGAATGTTTGAAAAATAGTCACGAAACAAAAGGAATAAACGCGTGGCTATCTTGTTATCACAAAGATACAAAATTGAGTACTTGTAAGGGATAAGAACGATGCACTTTTAAAAATTAATCGATTGTGGAAGTCGATTAGAATTATAGGAAGTAGGAGTATAGAAAAAGGATAGTCTAATCACAACAGGAAAACTAAGAACGTCTAAGGACGTTGACATAATAGGATATGAAAGCCCGACAGCTGATCTGGATCAGTGATCTGATTCGCACAGGGGTTTAGGAAGACGAAGGGTGGAAGGAATATAGACAACGGCAATATAGCAGCGTTAACTGAATTTAGCTACCGAAAGCTATCACCCATCGATTTATACTTGTATAAGGTAAATACGTAGCTGCGAATTTATGATAAAAGCTTAATATCCTAATGGGTTGTTCTTTTATTATGATCTTACTTCTTTTTCAAAACAATCTAATTTCTAGTGGTCTATCTATCTAATTCTCTGGGGTTCGTTATAATATTCATAAATTATGATAGTAACAACAGAGTATAATATTATTATAAATATGGTAGTGTAAATAATACAATAATAATAAAGAATAAAAATATTATAGCAATAGTAGATATTTATTATCAATAATGTTAACTGTTATAATAGAAA